ACACTATCATACGCCGCTGTCACGTCTCTCCTGGCTCTATCACTGGAAAGGACAGGTTCCCAGGCGGCACCACGAGGAGGTTGCAGGGTCCGAATTTCGCCGCCCACATCGCTCGAGGAACAGCATGCCGGCGGTACCGTTGGAATGGTCATCAACAGAAATCAAATGAAATGTAGAGTCCGTTTTCGCCACCGTCGAGAATGTCCGCTCGACGGAACACACAGGAAACGCAGAAACCGTGGACTGGCATCGTTGGAATGATCATCGACGGAATAAAGTGCAGAAGCCGTTGCCCGGCATCGTTGGAAGTTTATCAACGGCACCGCCATACAGTTTTGTGCACATGTCGCTGCCTCTCTCACAAACATTCTCAATGTTCGAGAAGCCGAAACCTGCTGTGATGGGTCTCCACAAACCTCTGGTCATGGCTATAGCGACTGGTTTGCAAACGAAAATATGGACCGGGATGGCGAACGACAGTGCGAGTGGCAGCGCGTAATCAAGAGCTACTCTAAAGCATCCATAACCGGCTTTCACAGCATTCATTCTCGCACATCTGATCGTGGTCGCATGTACACAGTGAGAACGACTATGGGCCCAGCCTGTGTGGGTCAAGTCCAAAAAGATGAGGTGTGTTGCCAAGAGGAAGCAACATATGATCAATACTATATGGCAGCGTCAACACACGATCAACATCATCTCAGTGGTGGGGTGGGGCTGGGAGCCCAGCCCACCAAGAAAACTCCCGATTCCAAGTGGAAAAAGGCCTCCCTACTGAAACTTTCATCGACATCCTCTCCTCTGCTGCAAGTTTGCAACTTGGTACAAGGCAGGTTTGCTCAGCGTGCAATGGCATCAAGGCCCCACTGTGTGCCTTTGGGGAAAGAAGCATTTTTGCATCTTGGAGAATCGCTTGGTGAGCGTTGTGGCAGGGGTTGGCGGAAAACATCACATTTGCGGCTTCCAGAGGAGCAAACGGCCGGCGGTTGTCTTTTGGCGGGCGGGGTCTAGACCAAGTCCAGACTAGGCGACGAAAGTGTAGAGCG